CATACTTGTGATTAAATCTCGTAATCAGAACCTTAAAGTCCTAAAGTTTAAGTTACAATAGTTTGTATACAACAAAATGAGGCTGTAAAGACGGGTAGAGTAGATGAGTCTAATAACGACCTCTGTAGCCTCAGTTAGCCACTTGTTAGAAACCGTCTTTTAAAAGACACATTAAAAGCTTTAAGAATGTTGTAGAAGAAAACATGAAAGTCTCTAAAGCTTGTGTTGACCACAGACTTTATTTTCAGGTATCTTAGAAGCTCTCCAGAAGTGAACCTCTCTATCGCCCCCTGGTGGCTGCCTGCAGTATAGCTCATAAAGCCCGCTGCCTCCGTGTTAGCAGACAAACGTTTTCCAAATTCAGTTTCTGTCATTGTAGGTCATTTTTATCACGTTGTTTGTGAGTTTTATCATCAGTTTGGTTTTAATTAGTTATAGATATAAAAGGGCTATTACGTCATGATTGACAGCTGAGTCCTGCTCGCCATTGGGTCAGCCGGCGTTATGGGCGGGACCTCAAAACCTCACCTCACCCTTCCTGTTCCAAGTGTGAAGGAGAAACTACGATGGTTGCAAAATGTGTGTAAAATGTTGGTTTGTCCATTTCTGGTTACTGTAGAAAGATGGCGGATTAACATGGCAGACTCCGCCAGAAGAGGACCCGCTCCCTCTGTAGATAACAACGTCCCATTTTAAGGTAAAAACACAATGATTCTTATGTTCAGGTGATTAAACACTAATGAAAATATACATATAAATATTATATTCTGGCAATATAAATGTTACACACTGGACCTTTAAAAGCTTTATATGTTTAAGGATTATGACTTTAAGCTTTGTCTGCAGGGGCTTAATGTCAATAGATCAATAAATCTCTCCACAAAGAGACATTTGACTCCCAGCAGAGCAGCCGGATCATCATTTCTTCCTCCTCCTCCTCCTCATCCTCCATCTTGTTCTTTTAATACACTGTAAAAAATAAATATATCTGTATATGTTACGGTAAAAAACTGTTAAACAATGACAGTAAAAGACCATAAAACTATAAATGGGTTAAAGTTTCTGTAATAGTAACACTGTCATATCTCATAACAAAACCTTTATTGATACTGAATTTTAAATGGGTTTATATGGAATAAAGGTTTTTATATTACAGACTGTAAATTGCACAGAAAAAGAACCATTATGGTATTTTCAGGTGACTTCTTTTGATGGTAAAAACTTTTATTTATACGGTAAAATATGGATTAAAACTCACATTTTATCCGTAAAATCAACAGTACTAATATCCTTTTTTATTGTCCCTAATAGTAGAGAAGTTCTATCATATTTATTACGGTAAAGTTCTGCCAGTTTTTACCATATAAATAACATTTTCTTTTACAGTGTATTTGTATGAACACTTGAGTACTTTTAACCTCAGTAAATATTTGAATGTCTCCTGTTGGAGTATTTTTTAAGTCTTTCACTCTGAGCAGGAATGTCAATAACAGCCGGCCAGTTTTCCTGTTTAAATGTCATTTGTTTTACTTGTGTGGTCACAAAGCTCAGGAGGGGGGGGGCGTTCAGAAACTGACATTTTTACGGTAACAGTCGCCGTCTCTCGGCAACACACTCAAAGACCTATACACACTGACGGCGCACAATTGTGTTTGGCACCGGGAAAGTGTTAACTGGCTAATCCCTTACGGCCGCCCAGACGCTGCCTGCTGCTAATTCACGGCGCTGCACAGACCGGCCAGTGTTTACACACCACAACCTCCGTCACTCTGCCAGAATAAAAAGCTCTTCAGACGAGCTTTTCTCTCTCCAGAAGAGCTGTCTGTCCTCTTTCAGCGTTCAGGGAAACAGCGGCGAGAGAGTCGATTAAAGTGAAAACAGACGCGCCCAGAGAAAGAAATCTGATGCTATCAGACACATTAACCTCTGAGAGGACGAAGTTTACCATTAAACTTAAAGCAAAAGGTTAAATGTTGAGATTTTGCAACTTTAAAGTTAAAAAATAAACATTGTTTTAAAATCTGTGCTGTAACTTATTTATGGGACATAATTACATCTATTTTTAATTTATTTTGAAGGAAAATGTTGGACATGAAGGTTATTTTTTTATTAAAGTTGAGACTCATGATTCGCACTCTTTAAAGAGTGTCACACTGAGGAGCATCTATGGTCAGGAATATATTATAATATTCACAGGTATGTTTTCATTACTGTTTAATCACCTGAATATAAGAATCATTGTGTGTTTGTTACCTGAGAATGAGACGTTGTTATCTACAGAGGGAGCGGGTCCTCTTTTGGCGGAGTCCGCCATGTTTCTACAGTAAAAGTGAGATATATAGTTACATCTTAAGATAGATAGCTAATGTTTGCAGAACGCTAGCAAATTAGCTTCCATTTGGTTCTCAGATGTAACCAACTCGCTAATGACTAATCTAGATTAGCTTTTGCTCTGTAGCAAAACACTAGCTAACTAGCTAACTAGCATTCTTGATTCTAGACAACTTGCTTGTAACTATTTATATGTAACTTTTAGCATTTAAAGGTCCAGTCTGTAACGTTACTGTAAGATAATATTCATACGTTTTTTTGTGTATAATAAGATGAAAATAAGAACTGTTACCATATAATGAGACGTTTCTCCAACATGTTTAAAGTTGTTTTTAAAATCTTTGTAATCTGCAACTTCGCTGCTAGTTACCGCTAAATCCCACAGACGGGTCCTTTATATAAAGAACGTGTCACATTAATGGACAATTCAAGTTTCTGCTAAAAGCATTATAGGATAGCATTATATTTCTCCCCAAAAATAGTACAAACAAGACTGACAGCGGTACGATTACGGCAGTTAGATTTCACGTAGTTTCTCCTTCACGCTTGGAAGGGGAGGGTGAAGCGAGGGAGTTGCAACTTCACCACTGAGTCTGACACGCTGGTCCTTTAAATACATCTATTGAAATGACAGTTTATATAAATTACAGTGATACGAGTCAGTCAGTGTTTTCGTGCAGGATGTACGCAGCTATACGGAGTTCAGATTTCTTTCTTCCTGGTGGTGAAGGAAAGACATTGTCCAGGTTTCATGAGTGTGTGGAATAAAGAATACTTCATATTTGTGTCTCTGTCTCGTTGTCCGTCTGTGTGTCAGTATCCTCGTCTGTGTCTGATAACGTATTGATCCTGACTGTCTGAAGGGACGATGTTCAAACATATCGGTGTGTATCGGTTTATACACACCGCTGTGTAAAAGTACTCTCAATGCTGAAGGATTACAGTATTATTGTATTATTATTACGATCATTTTACTTACAAAACGTATAATAAACTTAATATTTTAATAGTTTAATATGAATATAAAATGTGACTCAAGCTGTCAGATAAAAGAACACCAGTGAATCTCTGCTCTCGCTAATATTTATTATTTATTATTTATTTTAGTTTTTCATTTCATTGGCAGAAAATGTGAATGAGTTTTATCTTAATGTGAACTGAAGATAAATAAATAAATGAATAAATGATAAATGAATAAATATAAATATATACATAAATAATCAAATTAAAATGTTATATTCATGTGTTTGTGTATAATTAACAATATAAATGACAGTAAATGTGTTTCTGCTGTTAAAGTGTGAACATATACTGAAAGACTGTCACAATTAATTCTCACATTAAACGTCTGTGCTGACTTTTTGGAATGCATTATGGGTGATTATTTGACTATGACAGGCAGATGTGAATTATTACAATATGTTGTAATTTCACATTAAAATACTGTATTTTTAAGACATCTGACTGGTTACTGTAAAACTCAATACTGTGAATTCAATAGTGAACAATTAAAAGTCAAAATGTAACAAATGTCCACTGTTTACTGTATTGATTCATCAGCTTATTATTTTCCCTATTAATCTATCGATTGATTGATTAATGCCATCACAGTGACCCATTTATTATCTATTGATAATGAGAAATTTATATTAATCTTATTTTGATTATTAAATTACAGTAAAATCATGTAAATCAACATATGTTTGTGAGGTTTTTTATTTACTTTTTGATGTAAAAAAAATAAGTTATTTGTTTTTTTTGTTTGTTGTTGTTGACAGTGATGTCAGTTATATTTAGTTAGATCAGAGCTATGAAATATATCGATATAAAACATCTCAGCCTTTCTTCCCCTCAGAATGTGAAATTATGGGTTATTTTATAATAATAATAATTAGATAAAGACGTGGTCCAACCTCTCTGACGTCTCTGCTGCGCTCGCTGTTACTGCGTCAACTCAATCTACCCGACAGTTTAGGGTAAACTCAGCAGGTAAATAAACAACCAACCTGTTCTCATTACAAACTGTTTAATCTGTAACAAAACATCACATTTAATAAAGTTTAATGTGGAAAAACAACTAAAGCTGTCAGATAAAATGTATATGTATGTATATGAGTAAAAGTACTTCACTGTTCATTGTAATGTCAAATATTTTAAAGTGCAGGTGACGTAATTAATTTATTGTTAAGGTAACTCAGGTAAATTAAGTTAATTGAACTTAAAACTAGTAAATATATTAAACTCATAAGCAGCATTTCTCCAAACTTATTAAAAAAGTGTGAACAGAATTTATCTGAATAAAGTCACTTAAATCTTCTTTATACAAATGTTTCCTCTTAAGTTTAATTTTTTCTTCCAGTAAAACAAATTATTACATTAATTAATCACTTATAATAAAATTAGTCAGTGGAACAAACTGGAATTAAATCAGCAATAATTAAAATACTGAGTTATAACTTTAGTTGTTCCTTCTTGAGTTGGGTTTAATTGATGTGAATGAGTGAATGTTTTGGAGGATTCATTATATTAACCGAATTCTTTTATTAAGATGCTGTTGGATTTACAGTGAAGGAAGAACATACTCAAACAGGTGGAAGATAAATGATTATCACATAAAGTCACATAAAGAAATCCTGTTTATTGATTTTATTACAACAAAATCATTTTCTGACGTCAGATTTTTCTCTTTATTTTGGGAGAATGTGAATTTATCTGCACATTGGATCAATATTTCATATTTCAGTAAGTAAACCAGTATTCTGTCTTTATAATAAAATCTGAGCGGCTTCTCTGAGCTCCTGAAACATTTTAGAGATTTTAACCAGAATGACATTAATGATGGATGTAAAATATTAATTTAGTGTCAGTGTAATTCCTCCAGCTGCAGGTTAATGGAGGAAAATTCATTTATGAAATGTGAAGAAGAAAATCTCCAAATAAAAGCACTCAGTTATTGAGTGTGTGTGTGCGTGTGTGTGTGTGTGTGTGTGTGAGGCCTCTCCACTGCTGTATTTGTGTATTTTCTCCCGTCAGGAAGGATTTTTAATGGATCTGGATGAGCAGACAGACCGCAGGGAATAAAAAGCCTGTTGTTCATGTTCATGCTTTTATGCTTTCAGCCCAAAGAAACTCACAAACACTGAATTATTTCCACTTTGTTCAGACAGGAGGAGCATGCAGCAGTACAAACACACAGACGGCGGCTCGTTTTACAGCTTTTTCCTTTAAAAAAAACAACTTTAAGTGGAACCAACACTGCTGTCAGCTACCGGATAAAAAACATCTAGATTTCTTTTTTTTAAAAAGTACATCAGAGACAGCAGATCCTTGCATTCATGGTCAAATATGTGACATAAATATATGATTTCAAGTCCTATTTCTTCTCATCTCTGCGGTTGTTCATGTGGATTATAAAACTAATTAAACAGAATTTTAAAATGAAAAGGAACTGGCTCTTATTTGGTTTACCAAATGCTACTTTTGCATTTTAATGAAGATTTTAATTTTTTTGGAAGAAAACAAGTGGAAGAGAAGAAACTTCCTTTTTCCTTTTTGTTCTCTGGAGGAGAAACAGCAGCGAGGCCTCAGTGAAATCTTAAAAAAGTCATTAATCTGCGAGTTTTCTTTCAGTTCGAGAAGAAAAGGCTGAGAAACACAAAAGATCCGGATCATTTGTCACCGAGTCGGAGTGTGCAGGAATGTGGAGGAAAAAATACAAACCGAGTTTCAGTTTCTGACAGAAAAGTGAAAATAAACTAGCGTCCATCTGGAAATAAATAGAATTACTGTTGCTGTTTGCTGGAGGTCAGAGGTCAACCTGCTGTTTCTGTACATGATGAAATGTTCAGGCTGTGATGGATAAAACAGACACATCCAATAATGATCCGCACACTTTGAGATCAAACACTGCTTTGGAGTTGAAGAAGTTTTCCCTTTTTTTATTTCTTAAAATAGTTTTTGATAAAAGTCGATAAGAGTCGGGTCAGTGCACGGCCACCGCGGACTGCAGCGCCGCGGAGGCCGAGGAGGACAGCGCCTCTCCGGGCGCGGCCGGGCTGCTCTGGCCGGTGGCCGTCTGCGGGGAGGTGGGGCTCAGGGACTGGGGCGAGTTCGCGAGGAAAGCCGGGATGTGCGTGGGCAGCCCCGGCAGGCCCGGCATCGAGGTGGGCGTGGGTTTGATGGGCACCGGGATGGCGGGCAGAGTCTGTCCGCCGTGACAGATGGACTTGAGCGGCATGCCGTAGGCCGAGTAGTCGCCGGTGGCCATGGAGATCGGAGCCGCGGTGTCCATCATCCCGGAGCCGTACATGTGCGGCCAGGCCGGGGTCAGCTGGTTGTGGAGCGGGTACCCGGTGGCGGAGAAGGCCGCCAGCCCGCCGGGCATCTTGTACTCTCTGGCGATGATGTTCTCGATGGCGAACGGGTGTTTGAAGCTGGAGGGCTGCGACACCGGGCTCAGGTTGTATCCGCCCGGCATCTGCGGGAGGTGCGCGGCGGCGTGCAGCGCGCTGAGCCGCAGCTTGGCCTGCTGCTGCAGGTAGTGCGCGGCGTCGTGCTGCTTGCTGGGCGCCAGCGGGTCCGCGGCCTGCATGCTGCCCACCTTAAAGCGCTTCCTGCGCCGCAGAAAACTCCCGTTCTCGAACATGTCGCCGCAGCTCGGGTGCAGAGCCCAGAAGCTGCCCTTCCCGGGCTGGTCCGGTCTGCGGGGGATCTTAATGAAGCAGTCGTTGAAGGACAGGTTGTGGCGCAGGGAGTTCTGCCACCGCTGCGTGTTCTCCCGGTAGTACGGGAACCGGTCCATGATGAACTTGTAAATCTCACTGAGGGGGAGCATCTTCTCCGGGCAGCTCTGGATGGCCATGGCCGTGAGGGAGATGTAGGAGTACGGAGGCTTCTGGTCGCTGTACGTGTTCCTCCCCGGGCGAGGCATTATTCTGCTGGACCGGACCGGACCGGAGCGGAGCGGAGCTCAGGGAGCAGAAAACACTCTCCTCACTTTGTCCAAACTTTGTCCAAACGCTTCCAACTCTTCAGAGCGCCGTTACGCACGAGCAGAGAGTTGCCTGGGCTTTGGCGCGCATGGTCCCGGTCTCTGCTGGAGCCCGGAGTCCGCGTCAACTTGAGGAAAAGTTAAAGAAGCAGCGTCCGGGTCCTCCTCCTCTCTGCTCCCCGGCAGGTGCAGCGCGGTGTCCGTGCTCCTCCTGCTCGCGCTGGCTGAGGCTTGCAATAATGCGGCTGGCTGCCTGCTCCAATGTCGCCTTCCCGGTGTTGCCCGACTGCGGGCTGGACGGCGCTGACAGAGGCAGTGAGACCCCCGGAGAGGAGCTTCATTAATGGCCACTTCTTCACCATCACATGATCACAGCCAGGAGGAGGAGGAGGAGAGGAGGAGGGGGCTCAGGGGCGGGTGGGGGGGCAGCAATGTGGTTTCATTTACTCCTCTTTAATGGACGCACTGGCCAACACGAGTCACTTTCATTTGAAGCCGCGGCGGCAAAAAGAGCCGAGAGGATCCGAGAGAAAGGAGCTGATTGTGGGGATGTTTGCGGCGGAGCGGCGCTCTGTGGAGGTATGTGAGTGAGTTGTGTGTGTGTGTGTGTGTGTTGTCGTGTGTGTGTGTGTAGAGGGGGGGTCGGGGGCCCCTCAACCAATTTGCATTGACAAATAGAGCCGCTGAGAGCTGCTGTTTGAGCGGCTTTAATGGCTTTGTTTCTGTTTTATGTCCGGACGAAGCTGCTGCACAAACTGATCTGTGATCAGATTAAAACACAACCTGCCTCTAAAATCTTTAATTATCGCTTCATTTATTTCCTCCTTAATGGAGAGAATATGAAATACACCAGTGATGCGTTCACGGAACAAACATCTAACAACAGAAAGTGTTATTATCTTAATGATCTCCTAATTATCATTACTCCTAAAGATCTAACATTCATGTATTATTAATAATAACGCGTTTGTAACACACTGAGGGACATTGAAGGTTTATAAAGATCAAATATATAAATGTATTTGAGGTTCAATTTCAGCTGTTTGATGTTTTCATTATTTATTTCTTTGTAGATTGTTTGAGATTTATTTGTATTATTTTTTATTAAATTATTACCTTTAAAATACAACATGTGCATTTTGAAGTGAAGATGAGTTTTATTTTCTTCTTTCTGTGAGAAAAATAAAATCTATTAGCCAAAGTTTCTGAACGTCGGTCGGAAATGATTATTATTATTATTATTATTATTATTATTATAATAATTATTATAAAACAAACAACACATGGAAATGTGTTCGGCTGTTCTAATAACTCTCTTTATCAAACACTAACAATAGTTATTCATGTGACAGACTTTATTTATTAGGCTGATAATGTTGCTTTAAGTTAATTCATTCATTAGTTAATTGTTGGACTGATTCATTTTATGGATTTACAAGACAATAATCAATAATCAATGAAGTGTTGAAGAGAGAATAACATATGAGATTAAATATAAACTCAGTGGAATTATTACATTATTAAGAGATTATTATTATTATTGATAATATTTGTCTTTTAATTGGTTGACAACAAACATATGATTGTGTTGGAGATGAATGAGGGAGGGGGGGAGGGGGGGGTTCAACCCGAGGATCTGAAGGTTTAATATTCCCAGAGGAGGGGGGTGAGGAGGGGTGAGGAGGGGTGAGGAGGGGGGGCACTTTCACACGTCTGACCTTTGACCTGTGAGCTGATAATCTGACAGAGACGTTCAGGATGCAGAGACACGCTCCGAAAACAGAGAACCAGTCTGAGTGCAGCGGGAGAGCCTCATTACCACACTATCATCACAACTATACACATCCTGTTATTTATATTATATATTATAATGTGCACAGTTATATATTATATATAGTTGGATTCATTATTTTAAACTGTCCATTTACGTGTTTATTTCTTGTCTTTATACATTTTTATCATTTGTTTTAATCTTTCTGTCATTTGATTCTTTTAAACAATATCAAAAATAAATAAATCAGTTTTCTTTCAGCCGAAAAGAGAAATTTAAATCTTCCTCCTGTAGTTTTTATGGAGTGGTTTTATTTTGAAATTCATAAAAAATGTAATCATTTCTAACAGTTTTGTTTACAGACGTACAGATTATTACTTTAATATAATCTTTAATATAATAACATAAACTTCAGTTTCTGTTCTGTGTTTCTGTTGTATTTATTTTTATAAAAGAAATAAATCCTAAATAACAAATTGTTGCTTTTTATATTGTACTTTTGTTTTTAAAGTTGTAGTTTTATTATTATTATTATTATTATTATTATTATTATTGGTAGAACTGATCTAGTATAGTCATTATTTTTATATCTTGCTGCAGCACTGATGCAGATTTTGGTAAAACAAACAAACAAATAAACAGCATATAAACAGTCATTGGAGGTGTGTGTGTATTTGTGTGTATTTGCATTTAATGTAAATAAAGAGTTTAAATCTTAAAGCCGTCATCCTGCCCAGCGTTATGATTGGTCACCCAGCAGCCAATCAGAGAGCAACAATCAGCATTATGTAATCTTTAAAACAACAATATAAACATTAATAATGTTTATATTCTTATTTAAAATAACAAACTGAGGACGGAAACGGTTTGTTAGATTATTAATCATAATAATAATAATAAAAACAGTTTTTAAGCCTTTTATCATTTATGGATTTGTAACTGACAGTTTTTTATATTATTATTATTATAATT